ATGTTTCAAATGGAAAGCCTGAGAGGAGCTGCTGGGGTTGCTGTGTTGCTGGGATAGGTTAGCCTGAAACTGGCCATGTGGTAATGGGAAACCATTACAGTTTTTCCTTTGTAAATTCCTTCAGATATCCAACAAGTGGCTACTTTGACCACATAAATGTGCATAAGTTTCAAGTTGAGTAGGGTTGTTTCACTTCAGCTGAAAGCAATTGCTCCAAACTGCAGTCAATAGATCTATCTAGAGCAGAGTTAATCGTCCAATGCTGCACTTTTATTAGCATCAGGTTTGGTGGCAGTTAACTTGCAAGCTGCATCCTGGCATCAGTGTAACAGCTTTCTTCATCTGAACAGGTTTTTCGGAGTTCACTTTATCCACCAGACTATCAGTCTCGCTTAGACATAGTTCGTGCAAACTCCAAGTCCCCCCTGCAAAGAACTGGCTCCTTAAAATCTTCACTGAAGACAGTCCAGGTAAGAAAATTTAAATGTTAGATCACTGTATAGAGAGAATGTCTTAAGGAAAACCTTAGCCAATGTGAATGGACGTTAATCCACTACCTTTAGTCAGTTTAGAAAAGTCAAAAAGTTTGGGCATGAAGATCATATTAACTTTTAATAATGCAGCTTCAATTTTTTATTTATATTTTTTTTAGGAAAAAATACAAAGTCATTTTAATTTTTAATTTTAAGCAATGTTGTTTACTTTTGAAACTGCCGTTTCCAATGATACCATTTCTTTTATTAACAAACAGTGGCATCTTGCAGTGCAAAGACATAGGAGCTTCTTGGAAACAGAAGTGATGTTCTTTAAAAAACACTTGTGTATTACTAGTCAGTTTCCAGAGCCCAGTGTGAATTCCCTACTACATCCTGATTCAGACTAGTGATACCTCCTAGCAGCAAGGCAAAACTATGCCCAATATTCCAAAACTTCACAGCAGATGAGGTAATGGAAGATGGTAAAAATTAGTGAAAAAACTGAACCAAGCGTCACTGCTTCTGAACTGCTAACTTGCAAAAATCTGTTGTTTGCAACACTGAACTTGCAGTCATCATCACTAAATAACTAATTTTTTTATTACTAAACTGATTCTTAGTAGTGTTTCAGTTACAGAGATGGCCAAATGTAAAATGTACGCATCCCACCTTTCCTCTTTGGATAGCCATGCATTGGTAGTGTAACACTGGAAGGTTTTCCTGATTCCATACTCTGCATTACCCCTTCTCTGCTCTCAAAACTTAAAGGATCATTACAGTTGAGTTACTCTGTTGATCAAAACGGGAGTTGTGCCATCTGAAACAATGAAAGCAAGCTGTGTTCCAGGGCACGATGGCCAACTTTGACTTTAGATAGGCTGCCCTTCCTCTTTAAACAAGCAAATTTCAGGTTCAAGTTATTTCAGAAATTGTTTAACCATTCCTTTTTGAAGACCAGAGAAAGCCATGAAAAATCCATTGCCACAATCCTTGAGAATTCCCTGCAGCGCCGTACAACTTTATCAGCGTTATGGAAGTATTTGTAACTTCAGGTGAAACAGCTGTATGTTTGATCTGTGTTGAGAAAAATGGAAATGGAACATATATGTGGTCAGAGATGGCACAGACTCTGTTTGGACTAACATGCAAGTTTACCTTTTCTCCCCAACCTCTCCTTTGGCTATGTATTTTAGCGTTTAATGTTCTCTTATTATTCTTATATCTGAGCGGAATGGAAAGTCACCTAGACCCAGAGGGGAAAATAATGCCATGTCACTGTTATGCAATGTATCCACAGAGGAGGATCCTACAGCTGGGAGAAAAAAAAAAAAGGTGGAATACGTTACTTAACACAGTCACTAGAGAGCAGTAAAGAGACGCAGACATCCCGTTCAGTACCTTCCAACTACACTGCTCTTTCTGGTTCTGCAAATACCGCGTTGCCATCAGCTCCTTGAATTGCACTAGGGGCTACAGTCTCTTAAAACCACCAGACATCTCGCTAGCAAATCATGCTGCTTTCAGGAAAACCTTCAGCTGACTGGTGTGATCTTTCTGTAGATCTTTCTCTCCTGAAGTTTTCCCAACTGTTTGATTTCACACGTCACAGTAATCTGTTACTGACCACAAGTTTGGAATTTTCGATCTAAAGCAATATAAGTAATACTAGTTTGTAGAACAACACAGACTAACGCTGTAGGGAGGGGAAAAAAAGTCACTGCGTATCAGGTGGGATGAACTGTGCCTATAATAATACAGTATTTGTTTTTCAGAGGATTTAGCTCATAGCATCCTAGAATTAATTTCTAGTTCTGCAACTGGTTTTCTGCAGTTGTTTCTACATAGAAAATCAGAAGTGATCCTTAAGCATACAGCTAGATGTGATAGCCGTTCTGTGGGCAGCAAAGTATTTTAACCATTGTTAGAAGTGTACACAGCAAGTTGTTTATCACTGTATGTGACTAGCAAGGAGAAAAAGCTAAAATTAGCAGGAAGTGGAAAGCAGCTTTTATTCAGAAACGTGATTTGAGCTCTCTTCTTTCTAGAGCATCTGAATTTCTTAAGACTTAATTTTCCAATCTTTTTTTAACCTATTGAAACAAAGCTACCTTAAGAGGCTCAATTTGCAGCAGCACTCCTTTATCTCCGATTACAGATTGGCATTGTTGTCTTTCTTCTTTCACAGAATGAAAGATTGGTATTTTAGGCATTTAGACTCCATGCAGTTCTATTTAATGATTAACTCAATTTTCCTGTTACATTCAGAAATTTGTAACCAAGCATTTGTGTAGACCTAGATAATGCATTTTGTGAGCGTCAACATAACTGAGGATTCTTCTGCTTTCATTGCTTTGATAGTTTACTTTTATGCACAAAAATACATACACAGCTGTACAAACTGTAACATTTCAAAAGTCAGAATAACCAGCTTTTAAATAGGGTGTTTGGGGGAAAAAAAAGTTTTGTCTTCAGTACTGAAGTTTGTAAGTTCAAGTGCATGTGAGAAAACTAAGGAAACAACATTAGAGCAGCAGCTTCTCTCAGAGTACTGCCAGAACTAGAATCATCTTTCAAAAACACTCCAGATGACAAAGACAGGTAGAGAGCTGTCTTTGTTGAGTTTAATGTTCCTTTATTTGAAGGGAGGAACAAACACCTGCACTCTACCTCAAATTTCAAATACTCCATATTTTGTGCAGAATCTATCTTTAACAGGATTGAGCTCTCCTTAGAAAAGAACTATTGATGGCAGAATCTTAAATCATTCTGATGGGAAAAATCTACTGGGAAAAATGTTCATATGTGAATCAAGACTTCAAGTCAGAAACATCGTAGAGCAGCACAGTTCTGAGTTTCTCAGCTGCCTGAAAAGATCTGATGTCCACAAGATAAGATTATGCCCTAACACTCACCTTCAACCTGCTCTCTACGCAGCCAGCCTAGCAAAGACCTGACTTAAAAATCAGCAGCTTGTAATATTAATTCAATCAGTAGTTTTCCTTATCATATAAGTAGCTCTCAAGACTATGGGAATGTTAAGCTTTTAAGATTCATATGCTGTTTTTCTATTTTATGCCTTATCTTTCTGTTGGCATTGTGCATTTTGCTGTAAGTTGCAGATTAAGGGATAAACACCACCATCAATAAAACCATAAGAGTACTTTCAGTGCCAACAGAGAATTTTTGTTGTATGATTAGAAACATACTTATGTTGCATTTTCATTTTAGATTTCTAGCAGTACCACAAGGAAAAATGAAGAGGAAGAAGAAGAGGAGGAAGATGAAGAAGAGGAGGAAGAAATATAGATGCTAAGAACGAAGAGACATAACTAAACTGTTATGTCTGAGTGTCTTAATTGAATGGCAAATAGAAAAGACATCTTTTTACATAAAGGTATTTATGTATTAATCAAGAACTTCACTGTGGTTGTATTTTTAAAAATTGCAACAGGAGTGAGAGTTAGTACTAATGGTAAAGTGTACAGACAACAAATGATGTTTCAAAGAATGGAATGTTAACTTGGTGAAAGTGGGCAGTTACAGTAGCTAGAAAATGAAAAATTTAAATATAACCCTGTATTAAACAGGCTCAGATGTTCTAATAGTGTAGTCATTCATTTAAGCTTAGATAGAATCATAGAATGGTTTGGGTTGGAAGAGACCTTTAAGATCATGTAGTTCCAACCCCCTGCTATAGGCAAGCGCTCCTCCCTCTAGACCAGGTTGCTCACAGCTCCATTCAGCCTGGCCTTGAATGCTTCCAGGGAGGGGGCATCCACAGCCTCACTAGGCAACCTGTTCCAGTGTCTCACCACCCTCACAGTAAAGAATTTCTTCCTGTATCTAGCCTAAATCTACCCTCTTCCAGTTTAAAACCATTTCCTTTCATCCTGTTGCTACATGTCCTTATAAAAAGACATTCTAGCTTTGTAGTAGTAGTAGTTAGTAGAGTAGTTAGGCCCTGGAACGGGCTGCCCAGGGAGGTTGTGGATGCCCCGTCCTTGGGCGTGTTCAAGGCCAGGTTGGACGGGGTCCTGGGCAACCTGATCTGAATGTGTACGTTTGGTGGCCCTGCTAGGCAGGGGGGTTGGAACTACATGATCCTTGAGGTCCCTTCCAACCCGGGTGATTCTGTGATTCTGTGATTTGTAGCCCCCCTTCAGGTACTAGAACACAATGTTCAAGAAGTGCACTCAGCTGACAATTTTCTCATTCCTGAGACTTGACTTCTGATTCCATTCCACATACAGAATGAAGCATTCATGATTAAGGATCTAGCCCAGTATCTTCTTCCAGTACTGCATTGCTTGTATTTAAAAGTGCCTTCATACTGAATCCAGTTGACGTTTTATATAGTTGACATTTTTTATGTTAGTTGAGATTCCCTATATATAGTTCAGTTTCATGTATTTAACTGGTTAAGTTACCATTTCCATCAGACATGTAAGAAATTACACATTATGAGTGTAATTTTCAACTTTTCTATTTGCTAAATGTATAAACGGATCTTCATAAATTCTATGAAAAATGAAGATTTTTTTTTAAAAAGTTTTTAAGGTGTTTAGCATGTGTATAAATAAGAATTTAAACCTGTAACTGGGAAAACAGTTTCAAGTTAATAAACAAATACTCCCTCAGTTAAGGAAATAAACCATTAATATTGATGCTATCCTTTCTCACTGACATCAAGTGTGCAACTCACACCTGACAGAACAAGTATGTAAGTTTTGCCAAAAACTGCTGTGATAAAAATCTGAGTGAAAACGTTGCTATATGGGGTTCTGGTTAAAAACCCAGCCATTAGTTTTACAGCACAGTATAATCATTTAACTACTGCTGACAAGGAGTGCTAATGAACAAAAGCTAAGAAGTACCAAGGTAACTATGTCTCTGTTTCAACAGATAAGCACTTAGATATATATTTGTATCACATCAGGACCATTGCTGTCACCACTTTACCATTTCAGATTCAGTCATGCACTGCTGTCTATTTCCTAAACAAATGGTTGGTTAATTTCATGACTGTACCAGTGTGGTACAGCTATATGCATAAAGGTATACAACTATGCTTTCAAAACTGAATTATTAATAAGGAAGGAAAGTGTTTACATCAATTCTCAACTAATTGGTTAGGAGAAGAAAAGGTTACCAACCCGAAAACGAGCAGTCCCTTATCAGCAGTTACTCAGACTTTCCTTAAGCAGGCAATGCCAATGAAGTAGGCATTTTCCGACACAAATCTCACACTTAACCAGCAATCAATTTTCTTACCCTTTCGGCCTCCAAATCCTTTTTGTTACAGAAGTATGAGTGTATCAACGTTACTTTAGAATCACGGTAAAAATTTTATCAGTTTGTATTTAGTACTTGACAGTCACTACTGTGTAGATGGAAGAACTTTAGAAAGAACAGATCATGTAAAACTGAAGGTGAATATTGTTTCTTTCACACAACAGCTGGCAGCAGAGGCAAGACTTAATAGTACAAATGATATTAGCTTACAAAAATAATCATGATTAAGTTCTCAGTAGCACAATTAGACCAAACAACTTTGAGGATTCTTGTATTCATACTATTATTTTCCCTGCAAAGTCTGTTGGCTTTGTTAGGCATGGTTGTGAGCAACTAGGAAGTAAAAACATCATTTTTTTAAAATTGCATTTAAATTCAGATTAGTATACAGAACAGTAACACCTCTGAAGTTAATTCCTAACAGTCAGCAAAAGAAGATAAGTATATACAGAGTCTGAAAGTTCGACCCCATCTAAGTTCCTGCTCTGAGGAACCCTCATCTACACACCTGGCATTAGCATTCTGACTGAATCATAGAATCACGAGGTTGGAAACGACCTGTAAGATCATCCAGTCCAACCATCTTCTCATCACCATTGCCATCACAACACTAAACCACATCACGCAGCTCCTCATCCAGATGCCTCTTGAACACTGCCAGGGACGGCGACTCCACCACCTCTCTGGGCAGCCATTCCAGTGCCTGACCACTCTCTCAGAGAAAAAGTTCTTCCTCATGTCCATCCTAAACTTCCTCTGGTAGAACTTGCAGCCATTTCCTTGGGTCCTGTTTGTTGCCTGGGAGAAGATGATGTCTCCCCTGAGCCTCCTCTTCTCCAGACTAAACAACCCCAGCTCCTTCAGCCACTCCTCATAAGATTTTGCTCCAGGAAATTTGTGCACAGAAAGTACAGTTCTCCTAGCACAAGACAAATAATATGCCTCAAGAAATGAAACTATATTATCTTTTTAAAGGTTACGGAAGCAAAAGAAGTTTGTCTTGTTCATTTCTCTAAAGACATTACATGAGATGTAGTGATTATGATTTTATATAAAAGAATTAAGGTCAACAAGAAGTATTATCCACAGAACTGGTTCCCTAATAAGCCTGAATTTTGAATGCAGTGCCTTTTCCTCAAATGGGCTAGCTTTTATTTCTTACTAAAATTTACTTATGTTGTTACCAAACCAGTCACAGCATTCTGAATACTAATCGAGATTATTTTCCTATGTAAGAGAACAACATAGCTGGTTGCCAGCACAGTTGCCCATGACAGATGTTATTTCAAACTGATCATATATTGACCTAGAATGCATCCACACCATCATCAGCAAGTTAACATTCATACTGTGAGCATGTAAAGGTGAAACACGGCTACTGAAAGTTCTGGCTGAAGCCAAAATTCTTGACCCAACTCCAATATCCATTTTCTGCCTCAGAGGAACAACTACACTGAGTGAAAAGAAAGCCTATCAACCTCATTTGTATAGATTTTTGGAGTCTTTATAAACCATATATTCATTGCTATGTTGGCAAATACTAACAGATCAGTCTTTCCACAGAAAGCAGCCAGGATCATTCTCACTAAGATCCACACGTGCTGAGAAATAGCTGAGACCAGTAACCGTACAACTTTTAAATAGGACAGACACTTAATAGCAATTTCTTTTTTATTTAAAAAAGTTGAAAAGCCAGCAAACCCAGCTAATGTGAACAGGAAGATCTTTTTTCTTCTAATAGCGATGCCTGGAACCACATAAAACCAAACAGCTTATTAAAAAAAAAAAAAAAAAAAAAAAAAAAGCCCAGTCATTTTTTAGTTTTATTAAGCTAACCTCAATAAGAACTGTTTTCGCTAATGCAGGTAGCGCTGAAGTTTTTCTATTTGAACTGTGCATGGTCATTCAACCAACACTTACAATTTTATCTGCAAAGTCAGGGAACTGAACAAAGTCAGAGGAATTAAAGCAAACTAAAAAAAAAAATAAACATAACCCAGCATTTTTTTCCTTAAAAGAAAAACCATTAAAACTCCATGCTTTTATACCTCGACATAAGATACTGAATGTCCTCCAGAACTTTGAAGCTCTTCTCCGCTGTAAGAAGTAGGCACTATATATTTCTCGCATCTTAACAATACAGATATTTTAACCAGGAACTTAACCAAATTAGACACTATTTACAACCGTTGTTGAAAACCGTTTCTTCTGCATCTTCTAGTAATTAAAAAAGTGAATGTAACCGTCAATACTGTCAAATCTATAACGTTTTATTCTAGAGCATCCTCACTTCCTCTACAGCAAACTCAACTTAACCTTCCGTGGACCAATTGGCCTATCGTTCAATTCATTAATAGCAGTCATAGCTTCCTCATAGTTCGTCATAGCGACGATGGCATCACCTGAAGGTAATCCTTGTTCATTGTACTGTACAGAAACCGACTCTGGTATAACTCTGTAGCCATAGAAAAAATCCAGAATCTCATTAGGAGTTGCTTTAAAAGGTAAGTTTTTCAAGCGGATAGGAACAATCCGGTCAGAACCACCACTGAAATTCGGGTCTGGCATAAATCTTCCTTCAGGAAAATTTCCCATTTTATTATTCCCAAATTCCATTCTGCCAAAAGGTTTGCTGTCACCACCAAAATCCATGAGGGGCGGTGGACCTCTAAAATCCTTAGGAGGGCCCATGAAATTCTCAGGGGGGTGCCTAAATTCAGAAGGATGCCTGAAGTTCCCAGGGGGACCAAATGAATGCATGGGTGGCCCTTGTGGTGGTCCAGGTGAGCCGACCGGACGGGACAGCTCACCTCTGTTATACGCATGTGAATGACCCTGCATTTCATTGGGTGTAGAGAATGGAGCAGTTACACCAAATTTCTGCATCTGCTCTTCAGATATAAGTCTCAGTAATACCTCTGTTCCCAAATACCGTTGATGATTTAAATTTTCTGCTTTCATGGCTTGTTCTTCAGATTTAAACTTCACTAACGCCTCTCCCAGCCCAACGCCTTTGTCATCATAGAGCAAATAAATATCATCTTCGTCAATATCAAACCTCTCAAAAAACCTTCGCACTTCAACTTTGGTGACATCAAATGGAAAATTCCTTACATAAGCACATATCTTCAGGCCAGAATGACCTTCCCGATAACTTTTTTCTGTTAAGGCCTGCCCAGGATGACCTCTTTCCTGTGATCTTTTCCTCTCGTAAGAATCAAGCATTTTCAACATTGACTTTCTTGAAATTGGAAAAATGTAAACAGAACGATTGAGAAGAACCTTTCTATGACATTCCAAAGCAGCCTGATAATCTCTCTCGTTCCTTAACATCACGAAGGCATCTCTAGTCCTCCTCTGATGCTTTTCCGATAAAATCTTTATTTGTTTGTTGCTTATATCCAGATCAGGGAAAAATTCTCTCAAATCTCTCTTTTCCACATTAGTTGATAGATTCCTTAAGTGTATGTAATATTCCTGGCCGGAAGGCGATCGAGAACGTGTTCTTTGTCTCCTAGGTGATCTTGAATGAGAATGTTTCCTTGCATGCATGTAGCCTGAACTTCTTGGAGAATGTTCTTTGCAGAAAAAGTGATCCATTTCATTTGGTATGTCTACCCTCCCACCATATTCAATCCACCGTTCCTCCGTAGTTGGACTTATTTCTATAAACCTCTGACCCATGTACTGTCTGTGCCGCTTAAGTCCTTCTAAGGCATCACCAGGCGTAGCAAATTTTACCAAGCAATTACCGTTATTCAAACCATTACGATGCTTGATCAGAATGACTCCATCCACACGTATCCCAGAAAGGAAATCGCGTACTGCATCTTCTGTTGCAGAGTAAGGTATACCACGTAGAAATAAGTAAAGATCATCTGGGTTAAATGCATGAGAATCCTTTCTTGACTGATAGCCTGATTTAGGCATACCTACATCACCTTGTCTCGTACCATTGGTGTGGAAGCCAGCCTCTGGATGATTTGGTGGACCGTAACCAGGTTTATTTATCCCTTTTGTAAATGCTGCAACTAAATGTGGAACATCTCCAACACCTGATCCACCAGAACCATTAGGACCTGTTCGTCTAGACCCAGGCATAGCTTCTCGTCCCCCACGGTCAAATCGCTTCCGGCTCATTTCTATGGTATTCTGCATTTCTGCCTTGCTGCTGAGAAAGAGCTCTATGCGCGAGTCCTTGATAAACCCTCCCGAACAGCTCATGGCACGCCGTGCATCTTCATCTGTTGCAAATATAATAAAAGCCTCCCCAATTTCTCCTCCAATAATATGCACACCTCCATCGGGAATATTCAATCCCAAGAAGAAACGACGGATATCTGCAGGACCCGCAACAACAGGAAGCCCCTGCAAACGGATGACTACAGCCATGCTGAGCTCAACCCACAGCAAAAATCACCTGCAGACAAAAAGGTACACATGATAGCACGTCTTTAGTACTCAGCTATTACAGTATCTTAACACTTAAACTAGAGCCTTTTTAAATGACTGTCCTTGTCTCAATCAAGAGAAAAGATAGCAAAATAAAAAAGAACACCTTCGCGAGTTCACAATAGGATTAAAACAAGATTCACTGAAAGTTGATTAGTCAAAACAATTAGCTACTCCACCTGCACAAGTCTATCAGCATTCCCTATCCTAAGGGCAACCAAATCCACCTCAGTTATCCTCTCCATCCATGATACCTGAAGAACGCCTACAGTCTTTCACGGCACAGCTGCTGTATGCCAGAGAGCTCAGACCAGTCCTAAGGAACAAAAATTCCTGTTTACTTTTGAACAGGACGTTTGTGAACATAAACACTAAAAATACTAGATGAAAAAAGGAGAAAAGAAAAAGGGTAACTGCGACACTGGAAAATGAAGTAATTCAACAGCAGTGATGACTTTACTGCTTTGACAAGTTGCTCTAACCAGTGATCAGTTCTGCAACCACGTGTTTTTCTCAGCGTTCAGAAATGTTGTCTCTTTCATGTAGTCAGAGTATTAATTGCAGCAGCCACATGCACTCAGGAGAGCATATCCTAGTTCCCAGCCACAAGTCTGTGCGAATAAACTGCCGTGTACGATCTTGTCACAATACTCAGTGAGAAGTGTTAAGCTTTTGGCAGCTTACCTGTTTCTGCTTGGAAGACCTGATAAATTCTGTAAAATCAACTTAACTGTGGAAAGAAAATGAAACATAATTAATGGCTGATATCTGTACTTCGGTTTACAAACTTTGCTACATTGCTGCAGCTTCCACAGCAGCGGCTAATATTAAAGCCAAGCATGTAATGAAACCACAATCTGTGATAAAATGAAGGCCTCCTTCCATGTTCCAAGGAACATTACATCTTTGTGTTTCCAAAGCAAAGGATATTCAAAAGTTGACTTCTGCAAATGATGAAAACACGATGAGGTTCATCAACTGTGTCATACCAAACCGCTGAAATCAAACAGACCGACTATATATCGGGGATAACCCTCAAGTCTTTGAGATCTTGAAAGATGCGTAAGTCCATCTCAAGATTATAGCACGTGTCCATTCTTCCACAATCCACCTTCTTTCACAGTTCACAAGAGTATGCTACTCACCAGTCCAGCACCATACTTAATGTAAGGAGTGAAGACAATCAAAAGAGCAAACGTATGTAGTGAGAAGAACCTTCAATGAGCTTCTCAATTCACAAAGCAGAATTCAGTGTCTTCCCTAACTATTAACTGCCTTTCAAAATCACTTAATACACTGACTTGATCACATCCAAATTGTCAACATTATCATCTAATGACACGCAACACACAGTGTAATACTGTCAGAACAAAGATAAGCTTCCAGAGCATACAACTACATCCCTTTAAAAAGAACAAGAACCCAAGGCCCTGTTAACAAGCATTTGCAAACATCTCCTGCAAAAACCCTTGTTCAGTAACAAGTATAAAGCATTAGATCCTGATGTCAACTTAGCTACTGATCACAGTAACTCTGATTTCACCAAAGTCCAGAAAAGCAACAGCAAAGACCAAATTCTGTAACTAACACATTCTGGTCACTTCTACATCACCACTTTATAAACAAAACTAACCAAAACAAATGCCTGCTTAATACTTGTACTGAAGATCATCAGCCCTCTGCAGTTTTGCAGTGAACTGACTCCAGCCAGCAGCCACGCAGTTGATTGTTTATTCCACATCCCCATCAGCAGGACAGGGAAGAAAGTAAGAATGGATGCAAGAAAACTCTTGGTCAAGATAAAAACAGTTTAACATGTAAAGGAAAGATTAAAAAAAAAAAAAAAGGAAAACAAAGGAAATCACTCACCAACTCCTACATGAAGATCTGCCTCAGAACAATAGCCACCTTAGAAGCCAAAAACATATCCTGCCTCCCTTTCCCTCAAAAAATCCAGAGAACAAAAATCTTCCTCTATCTCAGTTTGTGCTGCTGAACAGGATGCTATATGGTAGAAAACACTTCTTTAGTTACCTTGGGTCAGCTGCCTTGGCTGTGTGCTCTCACAACCTCTTGGCCACTTCCTGTCTATACCAACTGGAGTAGCTGAATGGGAAAAAGAAAGCCTTGACCTTGTACAAAGGCTGCTTAGGGAAAGCCAAAACGCTGGTGTCGTCAGCACTGTTTAGCCAAAAATCCGGAACACCATATTGTCTGCTATGAAGAAAGTTAACTCCATTCACTCCATTCCAGCTGGACCCACTTTAATCTATCTTCTCAACAGATGTGAAAGCAATGCCAGAAGCAAGGAGAAATTCAAGGGCAGGATTTTCTTTGTAGGGCCTTCATGTCTTGAAAAGTCAAATCCGCTGCCCTGCTACTTGCCGATGTATTTAATCTGTAGTATTTCTGAATTTCATCCCAATCCTTAAACAGCATTCAGACCAGATCTCCTCAGAACTTCTTCGATGATAAATGGCAAGTTCTGTATGATGTATCATGGATACAATGTACAACCTTCACTGGTTAAAACCAGACAGTTCAAGAAGTCCTTAAACAGAAAAGCAAGTTCTGATAACACATTTTTACTCACTGCACATTAAACAACCAAGAAGCAGCAGGACCTGTAGACAAGCCATCCAACTGTTTAACTGAATGAATATGGTGACTTTCAGGATGTAAGTGCCAATTCATAACTTGAGCAAGGACTTCAGAGAACGGGGATTTACATCATAAATAGACTGACAACCTCATGCCACCCATTTAAAAACATGGAAGTACACCCACCAATGCTTTAAGAGATTCTGCGCTTGACTGGGTTGGCTAGAAAGCAGTGCTACATCTATACTTCCACAATCTTAGCAAATTTCAAATACCATTAAAACCTCACTAAATTAACACTTCTCTCTCTCAAAAAAAAAAAAAAAAAAAAAAAAAAAGTAACATTTTATGAAACTAAGTCTGAATCTGACTAACATTCTTGCTGCAATGTAGTGAGATTGCAATGGCTTGGCGACAGTGAATGTGCAAACCAGAAGGCACGTTCACAGAAATGTCACAACTGTAAAACCCGGTGCGTATGAGAAGTGTCAAACAGCTGGCGGGGTGATGATGATTTGTTATTCCAATCGTCTTACAAACGAGCACTAGCACTGGCAACGGGCTGTCGCACACCGGTTTCCCGTCGCGAAGCCAGATGCGGATGACCGCCGCAGGCGGGCAGGCCGCCGGCGGCGCCGATCCCAGCGCCGCAGAGCCGCAGCTCCGCCCGCAGCCAGCGCAGCGCCCGCCCGGAGGGGAAGCAGATCCCGCCCGCCAGCAGGCCGCAGCAAGGGGCCGCGGGTTGGAGGCCGAGCAGGGAGCCGCGCGGCCGCGTCCGGGAGCCGGCCCGGCAAGGAGCGAGCCCGGCTTCCCCGGAGCAGGGTGACGGGAGGGGCCGCGGAGGGAAGGGCGAGAGGCAGCCCGGCGGCGCGAGGAGGCCTCGGGCGACGGCCGCGCAACGGCTCCCAGAGGGCCGGGCTGCCGAGGAGCGGCGACACGCGGCCGGCTCGCGGCGGGAACCCCGCGCCCTCGGTGACCGGAGCGCCCCGGGACCCCGGGCGCCGTCCCTCACGGCATCCACCCACCGGACAGGCCGCCGGGACAGCCTCCGCGCCGAGCGCCGCTCCCCGCAGCTCGCGGCGCAGTACCGCCAAGATGGCGCCCTCCGTCGCTCCCTCCCACAACGCTCCGCGTAGGAACCCAACTGCGCCTGCGCGACCCCCTCCCCTGCCCTCGAAGCCCCGCAAGTTCTTCCGTCTCTCTCCGCCAGCACCCGGCGCGGGGCTTCTTCCGTAGGGCGCGCTTCTGCAGCTGGCACCGTGTGCGCGTGCGTGGCGCCTTGGCGCGCAGTCGGAGTCCGGCAGCCCCGAGAGAAGCGGCGCTGCGCGTGCAGCCGGCGTTCAGCTTTCTCAAGGCGGTCGGGCGGCGCGGGCCGTGCCTTGGCATCGCGGTTACCTCAGTAGCTGCGCTGCCGGTTTCTTCTCAGAAAAATAACACACAAAGCACTTCTGTTATACTTCCTTATCATGCTTTTACGTTTGCATAGCGATAGACAAGGGGGAAGGGTTTCAAACTGACACAGGGGAGGTTTAGGTTAGACGTTAGGAGGAAGTTTTTCACACAGAGGGTGGTGACGCACTGGAACAGGTTGCCCAAGGAGGCTGTGGATGCCCCATCCCTGGAGGCATTCAAGGCCAGGCTGGATGTGGCTCTGGGCAGCCTGGTCTGCTGGTTGGCGACCCTGCACATAGCAGGGGGTTGAAACTGGATGATCTTTGTGCTCCTTTTCAACCCAGGCCGTTCTATGATTCTGTGATTACTGTGTTATGTAACCAGTCTACAAGTGAGGCCCCAGAAAGCGAGCCGCCAACCCCCCATTACCGCACTGTTACTGACCCAGCCGCGCTTCCCCAGCGCAGCCCCTCGTAACTCCCCCCCGCGCACCCCGCCACGCGTTCCCGCCCCGCGCCGTCCCTCGCGGCCGCCGTACGAGGCAGCCGTGGGCGGGTAGCGCTGGAGGCCGCCCGTAGCCATGGCGACCGCTGTCGCGCTGCTGCTGCTGCTGCTCCCTCTGCTCCGGGTGCCGCCATCCGCCCGCGGCTTCTCTCTGCCCCTGCAGCGTCCCGGCGACTGCGGCGATGCGCACTACTTCGACATCTCGCAGCTGTCCTGCGGGCCCTGCGGGGCGCACCAGAGGCGGAGCGCCGGCGGTGAGCGGGGCGGCAACGAGTGGCGGTGCGGGGGGGCGAACGGAACCAAAGCACGGAGCGGCTTGGGTTAGAAGGGTCCTTAAAGCCCGCCGAGCTCCAGCTGTGGGAAAAGACGCCGCCCAGCAGCTCAGGGTGCCCAGGGCACCGCTAACCTGGCCCTCAGCGCTGCCAGGGATGGGGCAGCCACAGCAATGGGCAACTGTGCCAGCGCCTCACTACCCTCTGAGTGAGAAATCTCAAGTCCCGTCTAAATCTCTGTCAGGGTAACCCACCATTTTGACAAATGCTGGTTCTGTAAAAGTGGGCTGGTAAGGATGCTAGTGGTTCTTGCAAAATCACATCCTTGCACGTGATTTTTACGCAGCCAAATTTAGGAGTTTACATAATAAATACGGTTCATTAGCACTTAGAATCAATTTTATTTTTTAGTATGTGCTTAAACATATGGCAAAATGTCTGTGATAAAGAGGCTATAAAGTTTATGGAAAAAAAAAAAAGCTATTGAGCATTAGCAAGTGCCATGAAAGTAGTGTTTACATGAATTTCAATGTTATTCACTGAAATTTCAAGATAAACCTTAGTTCACATGGAAAATGTTAAGTGTTTAAAATAGCTTTAAAACTACTTTTATATTTTTATGAACTTTTGCAGGTAAACATAGAATCATAGAACAGCTCAGGTTGGAAAAGACCTTCAAGATCACTGAGTCCAACCACAACCTGACCATACTACCCTAACTAACAGCCCTCTGCTAAATGATGTCCCTGAGCACCACATCCAAATGGTTTTTAAACACATCCAGGGATGGTGACTCAACCACCTCCCTGGGGAGCCTATTGCAGGGCTTAACAACCCTTCTGTAAAGAAGTTTTTCCTGATATCCAACCTAAACTTCCCCTGGCACAACTTGAGGCCATTTCCCCTCATCCTGTCACCAGTGAGAAGAGACCAGCCCTGCTCTCACTGTAGGCACCTTTCCAATATTGGAAGAGGGCAATAAGGTCTGCCCTCAGCTTACTTTTCATCATATTCAAAGGATAAAAACGGAATTCAGATACATAATGCTGGTGACGATGTAGAGAGCGGGCTAAGGATGGCACTGTGGTATTATTAAACCAACTGATAGAGTTGGAGAAAAAACACAAAAGTGCATCTTTTATGTGTTCCTCCTTAGCTCCCTCATGTTTCACTCAACCCTGTAACATTCTCCCAAAACCTATCCCTAGAAACAATGGCATGAACATTTTTTTAAAAAACAGGGTAATTTTCACATCTTACTTCTGTGTTTTATGCATACATCTGAAAAACTATATTGATTCCTTGAGGAGAAAATAACATTTGTTCTTAGTATTCTGTGACAAAAAATCAATTTTGTGTAGATTAAAAGCTTGTTTTTGTTTTCAGGTTGTTCATGTGTATGTCTGCCAGGGTATAGGATGGTTTCTAATAACGGTGGGTCCTCTGTTGTTTGTGAAAAATGCCCAGCAAATATGGTGAGTATTGAACTTTGCACACTTTGCCATAAAACTGATACTAGATTTCCATCTGACTGCGAGCTGTTTTTAATTTAAAATAATTTTGAGAGATAGTCTTTACTTGGAAATTTTTTACTTTAAAACAATGTTTATCAATAAGAATATATTTCTCTTTAGAATGATATATTATTTCAGAGGCATCTTTTCATTATAAATTTGACTGCACTGTCAAAGCAAGAGGATTTAAAACGTTCAGTTTCCCTGCAGTGCTGTTGAGTTCTGTCTCATGTTATATTACCTTTGTATTACTCGTGTTATATTAGCCTTGCACACCAACCACTGTTTTATGGAATGCTAAAGAAGAATTGCCACTCATTAGTGTTTTATTTATATAAATCCTATTATAGATTGTTATATTCAGGCTGTATCTTTCTACTCCTTGATACTTTGCTTTGAAATGAGCTGCTACTTTTATGTTACTGTAATTATACCTATGTGCCCTTGTAGTTTGCTCAATTCTTTCAGCCTGTCTTGACAAATTAAAGTACGATTCAGTGTCATATTCAAAGCATAGAGCTGGAGGCACCAACCTTAACCATCTTTCTCCCTCTAGAGTAAACAGAAAAATAATATTTCTCGAGGAGAAAAAAATTCTAGGACACCAAGCTGAGTGCTGTAGCTGACACGCTAGAGGGAAGGAATGCTATCTTGAGGGACCACAAAAGGCTTGAGAGATGGGCCCATGCCAACCTCATGAAGTTCAGCAAGGCCAAGTGCAAGGTCCTGCACCTGGGTCAAGGCAAACCCAACCACAGATACAGGCTGGGCAAAGAATGGCTTGAGACTGAGGAGAGGGATTTGGGGGTGTCAGTTGATGAGAGATTCAACGTGAGCCTGCAATGTGTGCTTGCAGCCCAGAAGGCCAATGGTATCCTGTGTTGCACCAGGAGAAATGTGACCCGCAGGTCCAGAGAGGTGATTCTGCTCCTCTACTCTGCTCTTGTGAGACCCCACCTGGAGTATTGTGTCCAGTTCTGGGGCCCCCAACATAAGAAGAGCATGGAGCTGTTGGAGCAAGTCCAGAGGAGTGCAGTGAAGATGATCAGAGGGCTGGAGCACCTCCCCTACAAGGACGGACTGAGAGAGCTGGGGTTCTTCAACCTGGAGAAGAGAAGGCTCCTAAGGGACCTTATAGCAGCCTTCCAGTACCTGAAGGGAGGCTACAGAAAAGCTGGGGAGGGACTTTTTATAAGGGCAGGTAGTGATAGGATGAAAGGAAATGGCTTTAAACCGGAAGAGGGTAGATTTAGACTGGATGCTAAGAAGTAATTCTTTACTATGAGCGTGGTGAGGTGCTGGAACAGGTTGCCCAGTGAGGTTGTTGATGTCCCCTCATTAGAAGCATTCAAGGCCAGGCTGGATGGGGCTGTGAGCAACCTGGTCTACAGGGAGGTGTCCCTGCCTGTAGCAGGGGGTTGGAACTACATGATCTTAATGATCCATTCCAACCCAAACCATTCCACAATTTTATGATTCTAGAATCACAGAATCACCTGGGTTGGAAGGGACCTCAAGGATCATGTAGTTCCAACCCCCCTGCCTAGCAGGGCCACCAAACATACACATTCAGATCAGGTTGCCCAGGACCCCGTCCAACCTGGCCTTGAACACGTCCAAGGACAGGGCATCCACAACCTCCCTGGGCAGCCCGTTCTAGAATAGTTTCCTTCTCAACTCAAGAGAAGAGCTTAATTGCATAAGTTTAGCAACTAACTGGGTAATGTGAGTAGTTTTTCTCTTCTTTTCATCTTGTGACTAGACCAAGTCCTTGGCAAATATCTATTGATGTTTTTGTCATTCCACTTGTACTGGTGGTAATTTTCTTCGATCCCATGGCAGTGGAGAAGGGAATAACATCTGTATCACCCAAAGATGGTCATTTATCTTCACTTCTCCCATTGTTTTTGATCTGGGGTGCCCTTATTCCTTAATATAACGGAAGTGTGCTTGTGAACTGTTCAGATACATGCGTGCAGT